TACTATTGATTATGTTAATAGTTGTTCCTTTTCACTGGCATTAGATTAAATAACATGTGATTTGTAATCTGCCATTAAAATGTCAGGATATGCTACTAATTTACTTTGAAGAATTTTGCTTTCATATTTTATTAAATAGAATTTCCTTTGATTTTCATTTATGGTTTAAATTAAACTTCCACTAATTTTCCTTCTCTTAATGTGATGGGAATTAAAAGTAATGCTCCCATGGTGAATGATCTGGGGACTCAGGTCACCAAGCCATCAAGTGGTCACCAAAAGCCATTGGTAGTGCTGGAGCATTTGTGAAAAGCACTAATTACATAGCACCAAAGAGGGAAATACTTTTAATAGTTCTAGCAATAGTGAAATTATTCATTTCTGATGTCCCTTTGTTTTGGTCAGGTAAGTGCTAATGGTATGTCAATACTTAAAATTGTCAGCTGTTTCTATTATACATGTAATACACAATACCTACCACAAACATCATAAAATGCCATTTTGTTCTATCTGTCCTTCTCTCACTCTACCCATTTTCATTTCAATAAGCATTTACTGAACACTCAGTGGTTCTTTTATTTCTAAGAAGGGAATAATAGTTTTCATTTCAGTTTGTCTGCATTTCTACATATGCTTAGTTTGTGTTCTAGTTTGGAGGACATTTCTGACTCTAGTTTTACATTTCATTAGGAACTATGAAGGATCTTGGAAAGGGTCACCTATAATGTGAACAGCATTAGAGATGCCATATGAGTGACATTACTTTTTAAATTTTGTTGTCTTTGATTTTCAATAGAAAAGAGATGAAAAATAAAACTTTTCTACCAAGAACCATTATCATCCATTGTTCATGAATTTTTGTACTCATGCATGCCCACAGCTATCAAACCATATACTTTCTCTCCCATCCTCACAACATTTACATGGGACAGGATTTATGGATAAAACACAAGAAACTTTCATGCAGGCCTTACACCTAGCAAGGCAGAGCAGAGATTAACCAGTTGAAAATTACAGTGTTAAGAAAGTAATATGAGAGGCTTTCAAGTATAAAATGGGAGCATAGAGGAGGAACATCCAGTTCAGTCTGGAGGAGAGAAGACATGATCCTTGAGTAATTGGTGCATATACATAATTTTTTAGACCAGAAATTATCACCCAAATGATAAAAGGTCAGGGATACCTGTATGGAGAGCAAAAACACTGCTAGACTCGAAAGAATGGATCTCTTTATAGATCATACAGTTGCAGGTGGAGAGAAAAGATGAGTGCTTGGGGGAAGGGCTCCAAACATGTTACAAGAACTCTTTGTGCCAGGCAGAGGTGTTGTGAAGCAGGATGTTCTGAGGAATTGAGGGCAGGAAGAGAAGACAGGAAATGCTTTCTTGATATGGAAGTCTTATCACTTTAACTTTTATGCCATTCTATTGTTACCTAATCTTTTTCTTCTCTCCTATTTCTTTCCTCTCCCTGCTCCTTCACTTTCTCCCCTTTTCCTGACATTTTTTTTCTTACCTTGTGTCAATAAACTAACCAAGAGATATACTTTTTAAGAAACTAGCCATAGATTGCTCACACACAAATTTTATGTTGGTGGTGGATCTCTGAAAATATTTTTTGTGACCTAGGTGAGGCTTTGTGGCTAAACAACTCTGCATTTGTAAATATTTCAGATTTCAATGCTTATTTGAATAGTTGGCTTTACTAAAATATGAATTTGATTGATTGCAACTTGAACCTCTTACTTCATATTTAAAATATCGCATATTTTAAGTGAAAATCAGCACAACGTGGTTCTAAACCATTTAAACAATATAGAAATATAGATATTAGCAAGTAAAAGCCACATGTAGTACTAGACTCATCAATAGTAATTTTTGGTATGTACTCTTGGAGAAATTTTTAATTCAAATGCAAACACAAAATTTCACATTATTAATTTTATGCAGTCATTTTAATTTAAAATTGAAATATTTCCAGATCTCTATGTGCACAATTATTAGCTATTTTCAAGTGCTTCTTAGTATTCCATTGTATATATGTGCTAGTATGTGACCAGAACCTCCTTGATTAACCTGTATGAACAACATTTTGTTATATGAGTCTATATGCTTGTGTGTATATGTGTAAATAAATATGTAATATAAGTTCACATGCTGCAGATATAAATGTGTCCTCATGTTGGCATGTCTACATGTAAATTTGTACATTTGAATTTCTAATAAATTCTGCCAACTTCTAATCCTTTAATAATGTATGAGCACCTTTTAAATTGAAACCTTGAAAATACTGGGAATTTTCTTTCTTTATCTCTGTTCTCTGCTTTTTTTTTTTCTGTTTACAAGTAAAACAGAAAATAATTAAGGGCCTAGTCACTGATGATTATGTAAGAAACATAAATAAATATGTTTATTGGGCATTTGTATGGGCTGTTGTTGTTCTTGTTAGTAACCTTTAAATGTATACCTGCTTTGTGTAATTAGATTTCCTTCTTGTGAGTTAGTATATTAACTTTTCTATCAAGTACAGCATTCTGATTGATTCTAGTATTCCTCCCTTTCTATTGGACTGAGTGAAATGGAGACCATTTGTATTTATAAGGGAATTATTAACATTTGGAAAAAGTGAAAAATGGAAATAAACTCCCAATTTCCTACTAATTCAAAATTTATCATTATCTTTTTGCTGACTTTACTGTTAGTCTTTAAAGTATTTTTGCTCAGCTGGAGACAAACTGGGCATACATTTTTTAGATGCCAGGATACCCATGTTTTCAAGATCCACACATTTTGTCAACAATCTTTCCACAGAACTGATTATAGACTCTTTGAAATGTCACCCCTCTGTCATTCATCACAGTAATTGTCCCATCCCCTGTTTGCTCAAATATGCTCTATTTTTCCTCCCAATTATTTGTTACAAAGTTCTCTGTTGCCTACTCTTGTCACGTACCTCATATGGTGCAAGGTTGTACCCATGCTTGATGTGGGTGGTAAATAGAGAAGTGATGACATAAGAATAGTGGTACCAGTTATACTCTTGAGTGAAAGCTCGATGGTAGCAGTGCAAGTGGGGGGCCCTCGGTACCTAACTCAAATGTGGAATAAGTGCTTATGATTTAGTGTGTCTGTTTGAAGGTAGCTTAGAAATTATGTCAGAAAAAAACCCCAATATATTAGGTTAAATCTATCACATTAAGATTACAAAAAAAGAATAACTTCATATGATTTAAACTGCATAGAAGTCCAGAGATTAAAATTTATTGCTAAGAATTTAAGATAAGCGCATTTCTATTCTATGTTTTAAACATGGATTTTCTTTGTATTTTGGATTGTAACCATCTCTTTTTAACCAACCATACATTATTCTTCTCTTTCAATAGTACTGATTTTTATTTTGACATAGAAAATTGAATGACTTCCACAGTGGGCATTATCATGAATATTTAAATTCTGTACTGCAGACATTAAGTTATTTCTTATATATCTTAAAACACATATAATCCTGAGCTTTGTAACTCAGTATTTAGTTAATCTCTTGTAATTTCACTAAGCAAATTTTCTTGGTGTGAATTTTTTAGTCCTCCTTTAGAATCTGTTTTGAATGTGTTTTTTAAAGAGATGCCATCATTGTAAGAGTGTCATTGCACATAGCATCATCCATGATAAATTGTCCATTAAAAAATGTAGACTTAGAAAAAAATAACACTTCAGTGCAATCTTACCTACAGTTCATGTTAAGTACTGAGTTTATTAATTCATATTTGATTAATGACTATCACTATTTCTCTTTTGTAAGTAATTTTTATATTTAACTTAACACATTTATCTATTTGAAAGATAATTTATATTCAAATTATTAATCACCTTGTTATAATTTTAAAATATTCCCCCAAGTTGTTTTTATTTTTTTTGTAGAGCTGACTTCTCTAAATAAAGATAATGACATGTTTATATATAGATACAATCTTTATATATCTATGCTAAACATATGATTTTAATTTTGATATTTTAAACACTGCCAATTGTTTTCTTCTGTTTTGTTAGCAAAGTTTGTGCTAATGAATTTTCCATTTTTATATTTAATTTAATATTCTTATACTTTTCAATTGTCTCCCTAATACATAAATATTCAAATGATTCCCTTGAGTTTATGTTAAGAGACAGAAATCTGAAATTTTCTAGGTTTTACCTGTGGTGCCAGCAACATTACTTGAATAAGTCACCTTGTTGACACTAATGTGAAATGTCTTCAATAGTTACCTGAGAGGTCACTCTCAAGTTTATTCTAGATTTTTCATTCCATTGCTTACATTTCATGACTAAAAGCAGAAACACGGTCAAGACTCTTCTTAAATGCCTATCCCCACTATTGTTTTTAGGATGAAAGCAGAGCTCTCATAATAGATGCAAGATTCCATATCATCTGGCCTATTAATTTCACCTGATTTCAATAATTTATTTCTTTCCCACTAGCTTTCCTAATTCAGGGTATTTGCACATGGTATGTCCAAGTCTAGGCTACTCCACTTTCCGTTCAGTAATATCTCTAATTAGTAGTGTGTGAACAAGCACCACTGTGATGAATCACCTTGTTCTCATATTATGCTGTTATTTTCCTTTGCATCATCCTATGAATTATCTTTATTTTAAGCTAATTAATGTCTACGTCCATCTGTGAATTATCTTTATTTAAAGCTATTTAATGTCTAGGTTCATCATTAACCTATAAGCCTCTTCAAGTCAATATGAGCGATTTGCCTCTGAACTTGACATGTAGTAGGTACACATTAGAAATAATTGGTTAGACTCAGTAGAGATAGAAGTGGAATGGAGATATAATGGATAAGGTACTCAAAATACCTTAAAACTATTAGTGAAGATTTCTCCTTTAATATAAAATTAATAAAAATTTTAATTGCCTCTCAAGTACTAATTTTTTGAAATAGCCCTTGGTTATTATTTTGTTTTTGGTCCTTTAGGTACTACCAGACAAAGCTAATGTATGAAGCAAATTATTCTGAAGTTTCTCAATTTGTATTGCTGGGACTTTCTGCCTCTAGACCAGTGAAGCATTTCCTCATTGCATTCTCCACAGTATTTTATGTAACAATTTTTCTGGGAAACCTCCTTGTAGTGCTTACTGTGACATTTGACCCTCATTTACATTCCCCCATGTACTTTCTTTTAGCCAATCTCTCATTTATTGATTTCTGTCTCTCTACCTTAACGGTCCCTAAGATGATTTTTGACCTGTCTTCTGGGCAGAGAACCATATCCTTCCAGGGGTGTGTCACCCAAATATTCATCCTTCATGTTTTGGGTGGGTCTGAGATGGTGCTGCTCATCGCCATGGCCTTGGACAGGTATGTAGCCATATGTAAGCCCCTGCACTACATGACCATCATGAACCCACGCATGTGCATTTTCCTTTTGTCTGCTGCTTGGACCATAGGCCTCATTCACTCTGTGGTCCAGTTGGCTTTTGTTGTCCATTTACCATTCTGTGGTCCTAATGAAATAGATAGTTTTTACTGTGATCTTCCTTGGTTTATCAAACTTGCCTGCATGGACACGTACAAAATGGAATTTATGGTGACTGCCAACAGTGGGTTCATTTCCATGGGAACCTTCTTCCTACTGATTATTTCCTACATCTTCATCCTGCTTACAGTATGGAAACGCTCTTCAAGTGGTTTGTCTAAAGCCCTCTCCACTCTGTCAGCTCATATCACTGTGGTGATTTTATTTTTTGGGCCATGCATCTTTGTTTATGTGTGGCCATTTCCCACAGTGCCAGTGGATAAGTTTCTTGCCATTTTGGATTTTATGATTACACCCATTCTGAATCCTGCCATTTATACATTGAGGAACAAGGACATGATGAATTCAATGAGGAGATTAAGCAGTCAACTCCTGATTTTGAGGAAGACTCTTTAAATAACTGATGAAGTACCTTTTCTAAGTACTGTAGTGTGCAATTACTTATCAGGTTATAATATCTTGAAAAAGTTTATTTTCAATTCAGTAGGCTGAAAACTCTTGAATAGTTCATTATTAATAATAATAGGATAGTTTATTTATTAATAACCAATAGTATAAATATATTATTTATTATCTATAGGCTGTTTCACATATTTTTTTAGATTTAGAAATGCAGGTAATGTTCATTTTATGTGGCTTATATTTTTAATAGCTTATAGACTCTTATTTCCTGTTAAACTGTTTTTCCTATATTTTTAATTCAAGTACCATTGTTTTACATTTTTGCTAGTGTTTTGACTGTAACTTTCCCCCCACATGAATAGAATCTTGACAATATCTGAATTTCAGTTGATTTTTCTGTATTTGCATAGCAAAGTATAAGTTGCTATCTCCTGTGCTGAAAAGTTATTTTCATGTAAATGGAATGATAAGGTCTTTGTTGGCCTTTGCAAGAAAAACAGAATTCTTTCTATATTGATTCTAATTTATGGCTGCTTCTTTTTCTTCTTTTATTACTTATGATAGAAGATTTACTCGTGTAAATTTATTTTTGAAATATATTTAATTCATTGTTGATTAAATGTTATATATACAGAAAACAAATGCAGTGGAAATATATAAATTAAATGATTATCAGTTCTTTGAGTGCCACTTTAGATGTGGTCACAAAGAGGGCAAAGTTAGATTACTTTTCTTCCCACTTTTCCTTTTATTTATGCCTTCTAAATTTGTGTTAACTAAGAGGTAATATTCAATCAAAGAAGGAAAAGCTTGCATGGAATTGAAAAAATATGTGACATTAAAGAGTGGGAGCTCAGATACAGCATAGAGCAGCACAATACTGATATCCTTTCTAAGTCTGTTTAGGTTTCTGGGGTCATTTTTTGCAATCACAGATGTAATATTGGGAATAAATCACTTGTTGAAATTATATTTTCATACTGAGGTAGAATTAGATTTTCTATATTTCATGTCCTATATCCCAATGTAATAAAATAGCTTTAATAATTTGTCCTTTAATATTTGAAAATAAAAATTTCCTGTTTTAGAATTTTTGTGTTCAATATTCCTTATGATTCAATTGTAAATCTTCATTTATGATTCGTTATAATTAATTCCTTATGATTCAATTGTAAATCTTCATAGGCAAAATTCTCCATTTTGGAAATATTGCTATAACTTTAATTTTAAATATTGGGCTATCTGTAATATCTGCTTAACTTTTTTTTTTTTTTTTTTTTAGATTTATTTATTTACACATACAGAACTGGTGTACAGGCCAGAGATGCAAGGGCAGTGAGAGCATTCAGCAGAGACAGAATGGGGAGCAGAACAAACACATTAACTGAAATACACTGCTAAGGGGAGCAGTGAGTGGTCAGGAGAGGTCTGCCACACAAATGTGGATCACCTCCGGAGCCAAGGATCGAACTGGTCCTGAAGTGGCTTTAGCTTCATAGTGCTGTGCTTTAACTCGCCGTGCCACCAGGGAAGGCTCTGTTTAACTTTTTTTTTTTTTTTTTAAGATTTTTATTTATTTACTCATACAGAACTGGGGTACAGGCCAAAGATGTGGAGGGTGAGAGGATTCACCAGAGACAGAACGGGGAGTAGAACAGGCAGATGAACAAAGTACACTGCTGAGGGGAGCAGCGGGCCGGTCTGGAGAGGTCTGCCTCACCATGTGGATCTCCTCCAGGGCAGGCAGGGATGGAACTCATGCGGAAATGGCTTTAGCTTCATAGTGCTGTGCTTTAACTCTCTGCGCCACCAGGGAGGGCCCTCTGTTTAACTTTTTAATGACTAGTGAATCCCTTGTTAACATAGAAGGATATTGTTGGCTGTTACTTTTTTGTATCTTAAATTCACTTTTATTCCTAGAATATGAACAGTCATGCTTCTAACATAAGACTTTGCAGTTAATTTTCCCTCTGTCTGGGAAATAAATCTCTTAGTTTTCCTTTGCTCCCTTCAAGTTTCATTTAAATATTATCTCCTCAAAGATAAATTCTCTGTTCTAACCATTAAATTTAATACTGTAACCATCCAGTCTCAACATATCCGTGCTTATCTTGCTTTATTTTTCCTATTGCACCAAATAACTTGTAACAAAAGAATGTATTTTTTCTTTACATTAATGTATATATGTAGTGAGTCTTTTATGTCTTATCCATTTGATCTTCAAAGGTTTCTATTTTGCTATTAAATCATTACTAGTCTGAACATTAAAAGGATTGTAATTGGCAATATGTCTTTCATCTTAATAAGTAGATTAATTATGATATATATATATATATATATGAGAGAAGCAGTGTTCATGGAGATATGCATCCTTTGGTATTTTATTAATATTTCTTACTCTAACTGTTGACTTTTGATTGTGTGTAGACTGCAGAAACATCCTTAGACTTGTTTGTAATAGTGGCAAGTAAGGCAGGATCAAATATGTTTAGAAATACTTTAAATAATCAGTTTTGTAAGTTCTGAACTTAGTCAGCTAGAGAGAGGTAAATGTTAAATTATTGCTTAACTATATGTAACATTATGTTTTACTCATTCAAGTAGATTCCATGTCAGTATAAAATGAGACATAACTTCAAAACACGTTTATAAGAAAACATTAAATATAACAAATCCAAGTTCTGGACAAAATTATTAAGCACTCTTACTAATAATTCACCCCTTTGAGTACAGCTAGTAGTGTTGAACAAAACACCAAGAGAAATTTAGCAAAGGAAGGAAATTTTCTGTACACTGAAAACTGTAAGACAAATGAAAAAAACTGAAATGGTAGACAAATCATTGGAAAAATAATCAATATTCATAGATTACTACAATTCATATTTTTCAAATAATACTTATCATGTTAGTGAAAGCTCTATTAAAATTCCAGTGATGATTATTACAGAAAAAGAAGAAACAATTTAAAATTCCTATGTTACTTATATTCACAATAGAATATTATTCAGTGACAAATATTTAAAAGATAAATTTCTGAAATTTGCAACAATGTGGACAAAACAAGAGGGTGTTATAAGTCACAGGAAAGACAAATGCCATTTTATTTCATTCATGTGTGGTAGGTAAAAAAAAAAAATTGTTAGGAAAACTAAAACCAACTTTTAGACTATAAGAACAAAATTGTGATTGCCAAAAGGGAAGCAATTGAGTTCTTAAGTCAGGTAAAAGGAGTCAACTGTATGTAGATGGAGGGAAACTGTATGTAAATGGAGGAAAACTGGCTGTTAACATAATATAGTATATATAGATGTTGATCTATATCCCTGTATACCTCAAATCTATGTTTGTATCAGTATATATTTATATCAGTATGTCACTATGTAAACATTCCTATAGAACCACAATAGTCACTTTAAATGTAAATGGACTGGACTCATTAATCAAAAGGCACAGAGTGGGTTGTTGGGTCTGACAAATTCCTGTTTTCTCCAAGAGACCTACCTAAGTTTAAAAAGTGGTTAAAGTAAATGGTTGGTAAACAGTCCTGCAAGTAAATGGTACCCACAGAAAGTATGGGACAGACATAGTTATGTAAGATAAAATAAACTTCCAGTTAAAATAAACTAACAAGAGATGGAATAAACATTATATCACGATTAATGGATCATTACATCAGGAAGCTATAACACTAATCAGTATATATGCACCAAATAATAATATAACAACTATTATATTAAGAAACCTTAAAACAGATAAGAACTACAGCACATTAGTGAGAGGGGTCTTCAGTATCCCAGGTATATCAACAGACAGATCAATCAGACAGAAAATCAAAAAGGAAGCAATAGTCTGTTATGAGTAGTTAGAACAGATGGTCCTACTAGGCCTTTATAGGTGACCAAAAGGCTGACTACACAGTGCACATGGAATATTTTTCAGCATAGCCTACATGTTGTGTAGCAAATAAATATGAAGAAACCCTGTCTGATCAAAATACTATCAATATTGAAGCAATCACAAGAAGCAAGCAAAAAATTTTCTAAATAGGTGGAGATAGAACAATACTACTAGTGACTGAGTATTAGGTTAATAAGGAATGTTAAAAATCCTTGGAAACAAAGTAAATTAAAGATATGACACCTACCAAATAGTAAGGCCTACAGAACAAGCAGTAGTAAGAGGGACATTAATAGAAATAAAGGTCCACATTGAGAAAAAAGAAAGCTCAAAGAAGTAACCTAACCTTATATCTGAAGTAAACAGAAAAATAAGTGAGACAGAAGGCTTAGGACAAAAGAGATAATAAAATTCACAGCAGAAATAAATGAAATAAAAGTCAGAAAGAAGTTCAAAAGATAAATGAAACCAAAAGCTGGTTCTTTAATAAAGCATACAAATCTCTAAATAGACTCACAAACTAAAAAAAGGGGGAAAATTTGAATAAGTAGAATCAGAAATGAAAGATGGCAAGTTACTAAAGACAGTAACAGAATGCTAAGAATGTCTTTATAACAACAAATATGAAAATCAGGAAGAAATGGACACATGCTTAGGAGTATACAGCTTTTCAAACTGAATTAGGAAGAAATACAAAACCTAAATAAATTACAAATAAGAACATTGAAACAATAATGAAAAGTCTCTCAACATACAAAATCTCCAGGCCAGGTGGTTTTTCAAATAATAATTCTACCAAAACCTCAAAGTAGAGCTAATACCCTTATCAAACTCCTCAAAAAAAAAAAAAAAAAACTGAAGGAGAGGAAATTTTCCCATATACTTTTTATGAGACCAACATTACTCTGATGACAAAAACAGACAAGGACATCACAAAACAAAAACAAAACAAAACCAACAAAAAAACTGAGCGATATCCCTGGTGAAAACAGAGGCAAAAATCCTGAACAAATCATTAGCCAACCAAATTCAACATCCATTAAAACATACTAAGTGGGATTTATTCCAAGATGCAAGGATGGTTCAACATACACTAA